GCATGAAGCAATGAGAATGAAATAACAGTCGTGGCCGTATGAATGGATGGGTGCGCGGCAGCAGAGTAGATTTTTTTGAGCTCATAATGGGCCACTTTGCTGACACATACTGATGGCTTTGATAAACGGACAGGACGGCAGATATGTTGGATTGGGCCAATTGTGAAGGCTTTTGTCGCTGCCGGATGAACGAAAGGTGAATGCGAGTTGAAGATAGGAGCAGAGAGAGAAAAGACAAATGGAGGGAGAGCAAATGTGCGGGTATAAATGTGCTAAACGTTGATGGATTTTTGTTTTTATTCTGAGCTTAAACTGGAAAATGGTGAGACATATTCATATTAAAGGGCATGATATTTGGAATAACTACTTTAATCAATCAATCAGAATGTATTTGTATAGCACAGTTCATACATAATGCCACCCAAAGTGCCCATTGGTAGCTGAACTGTCTCGCACCTTCAGGAAGATTTTTCCAAGTTTTTGGTATGTAATTGCTGGAATGCTGCATCCCCATGTCTAGTTTTGACTCTGGGTACCAGCAGGAGGCTAGTCCCGGTTTTCCGCAGAGTCTGAGTTGGTTCATAGGGCACTAACATGTCACAGATGTACTTTGGTGGGAGGTCTTATAGAGCTGCTTGTCTATTCTCTGAGCACTCTGGCACCTGGTGATCTCAGAGGTCTCCCATCACAGTACTAACCAGGCCCTGCCCTGCTTAGCTTCAGACGTCTGACGGAATCTGGCTATTACATGCAGGTATGGCGACAGAGTAAAGTAGTTCAAAGTTTTGAAAGGAAACACAGATTTCACAAACTTCTATGAATAGTTGGGTACACCCGCTTCAAATGACTCGGGAGAAACATCTGTGTGATAAGTTGTCCGCATACAACAGTTTGTGAACCCCTGCTATAGCCACACATACACCGCAAGACACATTTACAACCCTTAGCCCGCAATGTCATTAATTCAAGACCCAATCAAAGGCGCATGAGTGCACCTGGCCTCTCTCATTTCCATACGCTCAGACTACAGCCTCACATCCTTCAACCCAGTGTCTAACTCCGATGCACTCCGCAATATGAAAATATATGAGAGGCTTTTGAAAACAGGAGTCCCACACTCAGCCCAATGCTGCTTATAGACTGATTTTTCATAAACAAGACTCCTTCTGTTGGGACAAACAAAACGTATTTATGAAACTAACAAATACAAATACCCTGGCTAGATACTTTAGCCTATACTCTAGTTTTAAGGAGTGAAGGCAATATATATAACGGCTCTGAATTTACCAAAACACATCTGAAATGCTCTATACTGTGGTAGATATGTCTCACAATGTATTTTTTTCACAGTAGAAAAAATTTATATATAAATACAAACTGGAGAACTTCCTTTTGAGTTTAGATCTGAACCCAAAAGGCACAGTTTCATTCAATTTTTGGATTTTTAATGTATTAATTTGGTGGCTACACAACAAATACATATCAAATACCAACATTAATTCAAAACCCAATCACAGCCGCTTGAGCGCACTCCTGGCCTCTCTCTCATTTCCATACGCAACTCAGCGTGTACCACCGATGCACGTCACAATATGAAAATATATGAGAGGCTCTTGAAAACAGGAGCCCCATACTCGGCCCACTGCTGCTTACTTATTCATCAGAGCAAATAAAAGCAACTGGGATCGGAGCAGTCGGATTGGAGCTTAGGCGTGTCAGGCCGTCAGTCTTGTACTCGGAGAGAGAGAGAACCAGACACGAGTCTTGATTTGAGCAAACTACACTGAAAAATCTAATAAAACAAGATGAGACACAACATCACTGCCGAATATTTGATTTCACGATATCTTCAAGCAGGAGGCTGACCTACATGCTTCACTTTGGAGTGTGTATTGGTGTGACTGAGTGTTTTCAAGTGTTCTGAGTTGATGTATTAAAGCTGGAGGACCTAATTTTCATCAAAAAGGCACAAATGAAATCATGTCACACGTTCCTCTCAAAACGGTTGGCCGCAATCACTAGTTTTCATATGCTAAAAAGATAAAATAAATGGTAATAATTGCTTGAAATTAGTCGTTTTTATCTCAATTCAAAACAAAATTTGCCAATGGGACAAAGTTATTTTTATTTCATGAGCTTTATTTTCTCATTCTACGGGAGACGATTTTTGTATCTACCACCAACCCTCCTCACACACACCAGATTCACTCCATGCTATTTTTGGTGAAGTGTGTTGCCTAACGACACAACGCCACTTTACAGCCACAGCTGCCCCACTGTGACACCTGGTGTTCCCTGGAGTCTCCCATCACAGTGCTAACCAGGACAAGCCCTGCACTTCTGAGACGTGATCTGGCTTTCACATGCAAGTTTGCCAAATAATAGAAAAAAGAAAGAAAAGGAAAAAATAGGACACACACACACACACACACACACACACACACACACACACACACACACACACACACACACACACACACACACACACACACACACACACACACACACACACACACTCACACGTTTCTTCTGTGGACGGTAATAACTTATGTAAATACAGTAGATACAGCTTTAGTCTGTTTCGGAATCCATGAAAAATGCAAGCTTATGTCGAACTTATCCGGAGGCTGTTGACCTGTGCATCAGAACTGCTCGGCCCTGGTTTTCCTGCCCAGAGGAAAAGACTAAACTAAAGGACCGTTCTGCAAATGTAACTCCTACATACATACCAAACCGTCTACGAAGTCGCTCAAAACTTTTTCGACACAGGATCAAGGATAATAGGATTTGGCTCTTTAACAAGACAATGTTCCATGTCAAAATTGTTTCCAGAACACAGTGAAATGCAGGTTATTTCAGTCCAGTTCTACATACTAATAGATTAAGCATCTGAAATAAGATGATGGATTAGTTTGACCCGTATAAGGCTGCGCTTACAGACTCTCACAATGTGCCTAAAATGACGAAACATGGAACAATATCCAACAGGCGTAATGATAAAACCAGCCAACATGGGGTCTTTGTGAAATTGGACACTATTCGTAACTAAAAGCCTGTGGGGAAAAAAAAGTGGATGTCTATCTGTTCAAACCACAATCAAAAATCCATTCTGCTGTAATAAATCATCATGCTGAACTCAATCCAAGACTCATGCAACGTTTTGTCTCTTCGGCTTGAGGAAAGAGGCGCAAAAATGGGATCAAATTGAGCCTGGATTTCTACTTCCTCCTCTATCCATGTTATTACCATTGGCTACTCTTTGATTCTGAGAGACAGAAAACAATTTGGACAAACTACTCATGAATTGAACATAATAGAGTGTCTTATTGAACTCCATTTGTTTTAGCGTCTTCACATTTGGAAAGGAGATGATGTCAGATGTTTTAGCTACCTGATGTTAAAGCAACCTGTGCCAAAGTTTATATGTGGTGATATTGTTTGTCCAGACAGAAAGACTCAAAGCGAACTGGACATTACTGTCTAAATATCAATGAAAAACATAAACTTGCTTGTAAGAGAGAGCTTGCGAGTGATCCTGGTTACTTCTCTTTCTCTTTTCAGTCTGAATAAGCTGATCTGAAGGTGTGATAGAGCCCACAAAATAATACATTCATGTTAAAAATAGTGATAGAACTAAACTGATTTAGAGCCACAAACTCAAGACATGGATTTTATTTATCTTTGGTCTTTTATTTGTGGTTTGAAAGTTACGTTCCGCAGCTTTAAGCAACGATTACTTGTCCTGTGCTGGTTGCGTTTTGTCTGTTATCAAATCGAATACATCTTAAAAACACATAAGTTCCATTGCTCTTTCTGTAGTCGTCTTATGAAAAGTCAGATCTATTTTATGCCACACAAAAAAAAGATTCACCCCATCTTGAGAAAACATTTGTAAATTTTTACTGGCAATATCAAAACACGTTGAAGATTGGAACACAACTTTTTTCATAACAGTTTTAAATGTAAAACACGGATTGCCAAAATGTCTGAGATTGGAGAAATATATATGCCTAAAAAATGAAATCAAAAACAAAGTCAGAGGTTAATACTGTCTTTGTGACGCCTGTAATACTTTATCTACTGCGCTTTAAGAATCCTGCTTTAATACACCATTTCAGCTTTTGGGGGAAAAATCAAAAGCGGATATCTGGGGTTAGTTTCCGAACCGGAGGCAACGCTGCAGGGTATGGAGCTTCTTCACTTTTTATTTTTCCTCAAATATGTATAAACTGCAAGGTTTTCTAGAATGCCTGGAAAATTCTGGATTCATTCACGTGTTGAACATGTGTGTACAAGCCTTTTAGCCTGTTTCCACCAGCCCAACATGGCTCTACTCTACTCTACCCTACTCTACTCCATTCTTCTCTACTCTACTCTATTCTTTTCAGCTCCACACTACCTTACCCTACTCTACCCAAATCCTAGTCTACTTTCTCTACTCTACTCTGCTCCACTCTACTGTACCTCCTTCATTGGCTTCTGCTAGCTCTCTGCTCAATCTCGGTCAAGCTAGCTCACTCTAGTACCAGGGTAGCTTGGATTTAACCAGTTTTGGTCAGAATAGGGCCAGGAAGTACTGTCAAAGTACAGGGCAGGTGGAAACGCTCCCAATGGGGAACAGTGGAGTCAAGTCACTGAAAAAGAGTGTTAGATTGTTTTACATTTTTTTTGTTCACCAACATCAACAGATAAGAGAATCAAACCGTTCAAACACAGAAATTACAATAATGAAAATATATATGCATTGCTTTTGTGTTTTATGGTTTGGAATAATGACTTTTGTGTTTTGTTGATCTAAAGCCTCTTAATACAGGCCTCCCCAAGGTTTCTCACTTTTTCACATTGGTCATTGATCATCCTGCTCCCTGTGGATTAATGGCTCCTAAAATAGTTCCTGGTACCAGTGGAATCGAGTAGAGTTGAATAGTGTAGGGCCAAGTTGATCTGGTGGAAACAGGGCTTTAGATTATGTTTCTTTTCTTTTTGGAGATTGTCATTTTTTATTGTTTTAGCCCTCTGTTTCCCTGGAAGCGTGACACATAATATTTACTCCATCTCACGCGATCCAACACCCGCCCCGACTGTTCCCCCACCGCTCTAAACTGTGAAACCTCCACTCTCCTCCACATGCACTCTCTCTGACCTTCCCAGACACCTCCTCTCTCCGCCGATCCTCGCTTGCTTGTTCCAATCCCGTGGTGACCTTTCCAGTTCCCGTTCTCTGCCGTAGACTCCGCCGCCTGCACTTCAGCGGGGCAGATGTCGCCCCTGTGATTGTGGGACACCTTTAACACCCCTGACATTTCCCCAGTGCTCTGCCCACAAGTTATGGAAAGCAGAAGAGAGAACAGAGATAAAGAGGGAGAGAGAGAAGCGCTTGCATTCATTGATATTCGTGGAACGTATCGTGATGGCCTGTGTGCGTCATGTTTAACACTAATTACAGAAGGTTAAACCATTGGCGTCAGAAAAACAGCCCTAACGAAGGCTTGACCCTTTGAGATCAGTTTAATTCATTGTATTTTTGTGTAGCACTGAGTCATTTTAAAACAGTTATTCTTAACTTAAATGTGATAAAACTAAGTGCCTTATAAAGTGATCCTACCCCATAAACCTTTCCATATTTGGTCTTGATTGTCATTACAACAAACACAAAGATATTATTCAAATTTTTTTGATTACACACCTGTGTTCTGTTGGTTTTTCTACTCCTTCATTCGTCCAAAAGAAACCACGAAAAGCTGTAGTCTCAGTTTGCATTTTCGCAGCTGCTGTTAAATACAGAATTATGTGCGGCCTGAGGAGGATGTTGCTGAGGAAGTTATTATTCTGTTGACGGTTGCATGTCTCGTGTTGCAAAGTTCCGCTGCCCACTACTGGCCGGGCCCAAGAACTACATTTTTTTCCGTAGTCATATTAACAATGAGCAGGATTGTCTGTGCCTACAACTGAAGGATTGTATGCTCACTCTTTCTAATATACTGTGATTAATTATCTTGTTTTGCACTTTGAGTTGCCTTGTGTATGAACTGTGTCATAAAAATAAACTTGCCTTGCCTATTTCGTCCAGTTAAATGTATTCAGTCACAGAGATCGCTGTAAGCAGAGAATGTGGTTAAAGTGTAAATTGGTAGGAATACTTCATACTGTTTACAATACAATACAATTTATTCTTGTATAGCCCTAAGTCACAACAGAAGTCATCTCAGAGGACTTAACAAACTCATTGAAATCACCAACACAGGTCAGAGAATCAACAGTTAAAACACATGAAGAATATAAAGCACACACAGAAGAAAATGTCCATACATGTTGTAGAATGCTAAAGTGTCCTGATCATCACCAATCCTTTCTGTTGGACACTAACTGTCCAACAGACCCTCCTGCATCGACAAGGAAAAACTCTTAAAAAACCCAGTGGGAAAAAGTGAGAAACCTTGGGGAGACCTGTTTACAGACCTGTTTACAGTTAATTAGACATGTTGTGTTGCAAGTCACACACCGATAAACACAGTTAGTGTATTTTGTAGGATTTAAAAACACAACACCAAAACAAACATAGGTAAGTAAGTGCATTCTTGAGCATATGTGGGTAAACACACAGCTGACGGCAGATAAAGCCTTTTTTTGTGTTTCAGACTCTCTTTCCCTGGAGAGTGGTCTGCCCTTTTGTCTCACAGCACCATGTGGCGATTAGTTGTTTGTCAAGAGAATAGTTGTGTACAGATGCTTCAGCCATAAGTTATGAGTGTATCAGTATGTAAAAAAAAAGTGTAGAGTCTGAAAGGTCACTTGTGTGTACAGGCGGTAGGAGTAGAAGCAGTATTAGTGATCTAGGGCCAGACAAAGGGTCGACAGAGAAGAAATAAGTCAGTTCGATTCAATGTATTTTTGCACAACCCTATGTTATATACACAACCCCCTGCAGCAGCAGTCGTCATTACTATGATGTCAACAACAACAGATCAGAGAATGAAACAGTCAAAGAGAGGAAATACAATTAGCTCTTGAACTCAATCTTTAGGATATTGGCCTTTGTATTTTGTTAATCTTACTTGAGTGCAGTTTATGACACTGTTGACCATGAGATCCCAGAGGACTGGTTTGAGACAACAGGACTGGGTTGACGTTGCTGGCAAAGTCTTAAGTTGGTTTAGGTTTTACCTTGAAGACAAGAAGTACTTTGTGGAGATTGGAAACTGTGTCTCAGATCATATGGACCTGACCGGCGGAATACCACAGGGGTCGATCCTGGGACCTCTTTTGTTCAATCTCTACATGCTGCCGTTAGCTCAGTTAACAGTGGGTCCTATCACAAATATTACAACTGTTAATATTGAATCTCCTTTGTTCGAACTGGTTGATTCTCTGATTTGTTAATGGTGAATCAACAACCTTGTAAAGTCTTCCGAGACCACTGCTGTTGTGATTTAGGGCTAAATTTTATCCTCTTTTTCAACTGAACTGAATTTGTTGACAGTGAAAAAGTAATAAGTAAGTAAGAAATGTCTTTATTTATAACATTTTTACAGAAAATTGTAGTTCATGTTCTCACCAAAGGATCCACTGTCCCTCTGTCTACTTAGTACACCTCTCCCATCATGAGTAATGAGTACACACTGTTTTTATCTCTACTTGTGTTGTTTAGATCAGAAAAACAAGACCCATCCGCAATCGCACCTGGATCAATGAAGCCCTACAGCCGCAGAGAAGTAAACGCCACATTTTCGAAGAGCACTAAATCATTTCAGATCATCTCTGCCCATTTCTATAATAGATTAACTTTGAATAATCCAAATGTTGTCATACAGTTTTTGATTGAGTCAGAAAGTTGACTGGCCCATTATAAGAGCTGTGTTCTGTGTGAAATGTGAGTTTTACTTGACGGTGACAGAGTGGTTTCATATATTATCACTGATGGGGGACACACAGAGGAGGAGCCGGAGTCTGGCTTTCAAGTCTGGCCTCATTGTTTTACGTTGGCGGGGAATTTCAGTGATAGAGAAATCAGGGGGAAAGACGCAGGTACATACAGACATAGAGAGACACGGGTACATATAGACATAGAGAGACACAAATACATACAGACACAGAGAGACACAGGTACATATAGACACAGAGAGACACAGGTACATATAGACACAGAGAGACACAGGTACATACAGACGTAGAGAGACACAGGTACATATAGACACAGAGAGACACAGGTACATATAGACACAGAGAGACACAGGTACATATAGACACAGAGAGACACAGGTACATAGACACAGAGAGACACAGGTACATATAGACACAGAGAGACACAGGTACATACAGACATAGAGAGACACAGGTACATATAGACACAGAGAGACACAGGTACATATAGACACAGAGAGACACAGGTACATAGACACAGAGAGACACAGGTACATACAGACACAGAGAGACACAGGTACATACAGACACAGAGAGACACAAATACATATAGATACAGAGAGACACAGGTACATACAGACACAGAGAGACACAGGTACATACAGACACAGAGAGACACAAATACATATAGATACAGAGAGACACAGGTACATATAGACACAGAGAGACACAGGTACATACAGACACAGAGAGACACAAATACATATAGACACAGAGAGACACAGGTACATACAGACACAGAGAGACACAAATACATATAGACACAGAGAGACACAGGTACATACAGACACAGAGAGACACAAATACATATAGACACAGAGAGACACAGGTACATACAGACACAGAGAGACACAAATACATATAGATACAGAGAGACACAGGTACATATAGACACAGAGAGACACAGGTACATACAGACACAGAGAGACACAAATACATATAGACACAGAGAGACACAGGTACATACAGACACAGAGAGACACAAATACATATAGACACAGAGAGACACAGGTACATACAGACACAGAGAGACACAAATACATATAGATACAGAGAGACACAGGTACATATAGACACAGAGAGACACAGGTACATACAGACACAGAGAGACACAGGTGAATCACATGAGGGCGGTGGGATCGGCACGGGAAGTAAAACTAAACTAAAACCACAGAGAAATGAAGTCAAAATAAAACAAAGTAATAAAACACGTGACAGAAAAAAAAAAAAACGACTTCCGGTTTGACGTAGAGCATGGGCAACTTATGTCTAATGCTATACCTTTTATGATGATAGGCAATGGCTCTGAAGAAAATAATAGGCCAGAGAGTTAAAGAAGTCATGAATATTAATCTAAAATACAGAAACAACTCCTGCCAGTTGCGTTTGAGAGAGAGAGAGAGAGAGAGAGAGAGAGAGACATTTACATGTTGCTTTAGATCAGGGATTCTCAAACTGGGGTACGCGTACCCCTAGTGGTACGCGGGCGCCCTCTAGGGGTACGCCAAAGAATCTGTGAAAAAAAAAAAAATCTGTGAAAAAAAAAAAAACTTTTTTTTTTTTTATAATTTTACCAGGAAAGTCCCATTGAGATTAACTCATTGACAGCCATGGATGTCATTTGAGGACAACATTGTTTTTCAATCTTTTCCTGTCAGTCTGTGTCCCCTGTATCATACAGTCTGGGGTTTGGCTGTAGACAGTGTTTTATTAAGCCAGCAGGTGGCAGCAGAGCTCCCTGGCTTGGTCAAAGATCACTCTGAGCACTCTGAGCAGGAGAGACAGAGGTGAAGCAGACATGGAGTAATATAGTCAGGGTCAGGCTACATTTGGAGGCAGTTTGAGCAGTAAATGTGTCTCCAGAGCTGACAGAGACCATGTGGAGGGTCATAGCAGCAGACCATGTGGAGGGTCCTAGCAGCAGACCATGTGGAGGGTCAGGACAGCAGACCAGTGGAGCACCTCAAAAAAGCCACAGAAAAGTGGACTATTGCTAAAATTATCACTGAGTCCACACCAGGAGCCAGCAGCAAAGTCCAGATATGGTCACAGCGCACGCCGGACTAAACAGACGCTCTGTAGATGTAGCCACATAAAAACACACAAACGCGTGCATAAACGCACATACATGCACGCCCAAACACACAAAGACACACAGCAGTATTCTGTTGCACTTATTGATTCACTTTGATTTATTGTCATGTATAGTGTTTATCATTGTAATTTTGTTATTCTTTGATTTACTCTTATTGACATAAATATAGTGCCACCTAATGGATGAATACTGGCCATTCTATCTGGCATAGTTTGTCATGGGCTCTACTTTCAATATGTACATTTTGACATTTTTTGGATGAGTACATTTTGAAACATTTGAGCAACA